GGGGACTGCTCTGCCTCCAGCACTCTGCAGTGTTTTTTTCTCTGCCCTGGGTGTGGGGGCAGCATCCCGGTGTGTGCCCCTCTTGCTTCCCTGCCTGCAGTGCAACGCTGCCTTGGGCCGTGCCCAGAGCTGGCCAGGAAGAGCCTGGTCTCTCATGGCAGCTCTGTACAGCTCAGCCCTGTCCTTTTGACCCCCCCTGCCCCCAACTCCTGTTTCTGCAGCAGGGCACCTCTGGAGCTGGGCCAGGCCTGGCACCCACTAGGCAAAAGCATCTCCACTTTTCTTGTCAGCACAGTACCCTGCTGAAGCCCACTGCCCGCTGCCTTGACTGGGAGGAAGCAAAAGCAGCATGCAAATAAACACAAAATAAATAGAAAGTGCAGGGATGGGGAAGTTGATAGTAAAAAGAAATATGAGTCAGACAAGAATCATTGATATAGGAAAGCTGACCTGTGAAAGAGAAGGACATAGATGCTGCCAGCAGAGCCACTCTAGGAGGAGGAGGTCCCTAGAGAGTGACGAAGGAAAGGCATCTCTCACCCTGGTAGCACAGGCCCTGGCAGGAACATAGGGTGGTGCTGCTGCGGGCAGGCTGCTGAGCAGGGTGCAGCTGTAGCAGGGCCAAGGCAGGCCAGGAGTGGCGTGTCCTACGTGACATTGCTAGCAGCAGCCAGAGAGCACGGACGGACTGGTGCTTCTGGGTGACCTGCACCCAGGACAGGAGAGGGGCTGGGGAACAGTTGGGGCCTAGGGACTTTGCTTCCCAATGTGTTCATCAGGACTTTGCTAACGGTTGTGAAGAAATTGCTGAGGGACATCCCAGATGGCCCAGAGTTTGGCAAGTAATGGTGTTGATGGGTTACTGGTGTAGTGATCTGGGCCATGGGAGAGCCAAGGTACAAATGCACAGCGTCACTCATCAGTGCTCATCTGTCTTCAAAAAAGCAGAGTACCAACATCATTCCTTTGGAGATGCAGCCACAGGTACAAACAGATTTTGCTGGTAAAATTTAAGCCACTTTACTGGGCAGAATACACTAGGATGGCATTTTCAACAGAGCTGCTGCTGGCAGGGCATGTGTAGGGGGTGAGAGTCATACTTGCAAGGCAGTGTCAGTTCACAGCAAAGTGTGAGTGAGGCACTTGCAGGCAGGTGCTGTACAGGGACTCCTGGGACCTCCCTGTGAGCTCAACAGGAGTTCCTATGGATTGGGAAATGGAAAATCTATTTATCATGGAAATACCTTCTTTGGGTGAAATGTGGCCACTCAAGGATCCCAGCAAACAAATTTGGCCCTGTGCACGGTGGGGGATGGCTAATAAGGTGAATATGTATTGTTTCAAAGTAGATGGAATAACTGTGTAGATGGTCAAGCAGGTAGAAGATCTATCTGCAAAGAAGATAATGTTCAGTGTGTGCTGTGGTGCAACCTACCACACCATTGCCCAAGGTTGGTGTTGAGGGCTGCAAGGTGGGCTCCTGCCAGTCACAGACTGGTTCCCTGCCATGCAGAGCACAGGGCAGACTGTCAGCTGCTGTGGTGCTGCAGCTTCAAGCTTGTGTCAGACACTGATGCCCAACAACCACCTAAAGCCTGCAAGCAGCAGAAGTGGAAATGTTAAGAAACACTTGGGAATTTGCTGACTCCAGATCTGTATTTCCTGCATTCTGTTTTGTTGATGTGAACCTTCTGGAAGGGCAATGTCCTTGTGGCCAGCCTTGGTGCTCATTCATGAGTGTCTTTGTTAGCAGACAATTGGTAAGGTTGCTCCCTGGTGTGCTTTCCCTCTCTGGATTTTCCCTTTGCAAGCTTATGGGGATGGTGTTTTCCAGTGGGGGACGGACAAGGTGTCCGTGAAATGTCTTGTGGAGTCGCAGTCCCAGCACTCGTGGGCATCCCTGCAGGTTGTTTGTGTGTTCCTGATCTGGACAGCTTGCCATGGGACAGGGATGCTGCCTCAAAGTCCTGCCCTTGTGCAATGCAGGTATGTGTTTGTAGGGTGTAGGGGAGAGCTGTGTCAGTGCAATTTTGGTGCAGTTTGAGTTGTGCAGTGATTAAAGACAGAGAGAGCAGCTTTTATAGCCCATAGAGGAGTGGTGATGCCCTGCTTGACACAGCCTGACACTACACAGACAGAGAGATGCAGAGAGAGACAGAGCTGGTCTCTGTAAAGAAGAAAATCCCCAGGCAGAAAACGTCTCCTCTAGGCTTGGCTTTTACTGTGCAAATTCCCCCTCCCAGGTTAAGTGCTACCTTGTGCAATTCTTCCCAGCTGCCTCTTTCTGGGAAGGATGAAAGCACAGACATTATACCCACTTACTTGAATACCAATGCCCAGCAAGACCACAGCAGGGTAATGGACATTTGAAGTACCCAGAGGTGAACAACTGGTGGATCTTTGGGTTTAAGAGCAGCCACTTAGGGATAGTACAGAGAGAGACTGTTTTAAGGCAGTTACTGACAACTGCATTTTGGCTTTTTTTTTCCCCCCCTTTTACAGGTTTCTATGGGAGACCATGGTCTATGGAACAGAGGAAACTTCTCTTTCAATGGCAAGTACCCTGAATTTTCCTCTCTGAAGGGTACTAGCCTGGGGCAGAGTGACAAGGTGGAAGCCGGAGTGCTGTGGAGGCAAGAACGGTGAGGGAAAATGTGCTGGAGGGAGGCTCCTGGGGCTGGCCTGCCTTTGGGATACTGGGGCGATGGCAGTGAAGGGGGCTCATGCTTCTCCCAGGGCTGCTCCTGCAGTGCCCCCTCTGTCCCAACACTCCTGCACCCCTGGATCTGGCCTGGGGAAAGACTCCCCTGCCCTGGGCCCGGGTGTGGTGGCTGTGGGGTGGGCTGGACGGGCAGCCTGAGGATGCCCGGACAGATGCGGGCTGTGCTGCCCTGTGCCAGCAGATGGTGCTGGGACTCTGCCACAGCCCAGCTGCAGCCAGATGTGTTTGGCTGTGGGGCTTGGGCCTGGGACAGGGCTGGGTGCCCCAAGGGAATGGGGTCTGGGGATGGGGCCCGGAAGGGGCTGGGTGGGCACTAGCCCCTGCGTGCTGGCACTGCACAGCTGGCACGGGTGCTCCAGTGAGGGTGCAGACCCAGAGGGAGCTGTCACTGGGACAGGGTCGGATCCTGCTGCCCATGCCATGGGAGGAGCGATGGCAGCTGGGAAGGGTTTAGAGAGGAGCGTGGGGGCTATGCAAGCCTGAAAATGCTGCCTCTGGAGGCACCAGAAAAGCTGCTCTGCCCTGACTGCAGTGTGGTGTGGGTTGGCTAGGGCAGCCTATGCACAGGAGGGGTGTCGGGGAGCAGGTGGAGGGGCTGGGGCTGGAAATGGGAAGTAAGATCCATGTGAGAGAGAACGTGGGGGTGTTCAGCGGGCTGGAAGCCCACCTCGGGGGCTGACCTGGCAGGACAAGCGCCCATTGCCTCATCTCTGAACCATGTGGGCCTGGGCAGTGCCACGCTGCACCAGCCCCTGTCGGTGTGCTGGCTGCAGGACAGCACACTGCGTGCCCGCTGCCACCAGCAGCAAGTGGCCAGCTTGCCCTGCCTGGTGCCACCATCCCTGCCACCCTGCGCTCCCAGCGGGAGCACCAGGCGGGTGCTTCCAGGCAGCCCGGCCTCGCTGGAGCCAGGTCTATCATTGTGGAAACAGATGGCACAGTAAACCCACATCACTCCACCGTGGGCACAGGTGGCCACTTTATCCTGAGGCTGCCATCCCTGCCTGGTGTGGAGGTGGCCCTTGTGTCCCTGTGATTCCCCATGTGTGTCTGTGTGTCACCATGTGTCCCTGTGACAGAAGGATGTGGGCAGGATCTGTCACTGGCTGGTTGTGAGAATCACCTTGGGATGGGAGTTGATCTGTGCAAGAGAGAAAAAGCCCTCTCCTAGCAGCTGGCGCCCATGCACTGGCTGTCAGTGGGATGAGCTGCACTGACAAGATGGACTGCCACCTGCCACCGATGGACTGGGGCCCAGTAGGGCCTCCTGTGCAGCATGGGCAGCACGGTGGTCACAGCCTAGGTGGCACACTGGTCAGTGTGGGTACTGCCCTGGTGATGGCATGGGCAACACACTGGGGATGGTGTGGAGAGTGCGCTGGTCAAAGCAGGGGCAGTGTGCTGGTGACAGTGTGGGCAGTGCACCGGTGATGGCCAGACAGTGCACTGGCGACAGTGTGGGCAGCGCACCGGTGATGGCCAGGCAGTGGGCCAGAGGTGGCAGGGCCGTGTGCTGGTGATGGCCCTGGCAGCCGTGCACTGTGTGGGAAATGTGCCGGTCATGCTGTGAGAGTGCACTAGTGACAGTGTGGGTAGTCACAAGTGCAAGTAAGGACCATAATGCAGCAACCAGAGATGCGGATACAGAAAAATGTAGCTTAGAAAATTTGGGGAAAACGTGCAGGAAGGAAAACAAGATGTGATGTTTTAAAGTATATTAGGAATGAGAAGGTCTAATGATGGCCTTGTCTGGTACTGGACTGGGTTGTATGTTCACGTTTGCACATGTGAGTGGTATGTTCATTGATGTTTTTCTTCTCTGGAAAGAAACAAGATGAGGCACTTGTATCATGTGGTACATGAAGTGCTTCCCAGTCTGTTCATTATGGGAAAATGTAAAACATCATCTACTAAGGAGGATAAATAAAAATAAATGAATATATCAGCTGGCTTTCATACAGGAGTGCCAAAAGAGCTGTCTAGGGAGGTGTCTGCCCCATCCTGATAATTTCCAGTGAGTCTTGGATTGCTGGGGAGATTCTGGAAGGAATTTGTGCTTTTTGAGGCCAGAAAGGGCCTTATGATGGTGCAGTCTGATCTCCTGAAGCAGGCAGGCCCTGATCTCTCAGACCTGCTTCCCTTCAGCTCTGACTGCAGTGGAGCATCTGGAGAGTTGGAGACCTTTCCTCTCCCATCTCGCCCAAATGCATGTCCCCGTGAGTCACCCCTGGACCCCGCCATGTCCCCGACTGCTGGGTGCGGTTTTTCTCTCCTCTGGAGCGCTGGCAGGCTGAGGCTTTCCCCTGGGGAGATGAGCAGACTGGGCTCCAAGACTCTCTTGCTCACAGACTTCCCACCTGTGTCTGTGTGTGTGGCTCCTTGACAGACTCACTCTAGTTAATCAGCGTCCTTTCCACGCTGTGGCCACTGCTTTGGCAGCATCTGCAGCCAGCACAGAGGTCACCAAATCTCTCTAGTCCCGCCTGACACTCTGCAGTGATTCATCTGGGGCTCTCTCTTATGCTGAGTTACCAGTGGCATTGCAGAGGACGCTCATGTTCAACTAATTGCTCATTATGTTAAGTTGTTACTTCAGACACCGTATCTTCTGTATTCTTTTACTAGGTAGGACTTTATGCTTGGCTGTATTAAGAAATATACTGCTTGCTGAAGCCCAGCTTAGCAGCCATTTCAAATCACTCCCGAGTGCTGTATTTGCTCCTTTATTCTCTACTTACTTGTTCTTTGCCACCTGCAAACTGCACAGGCACAGCGTCCTGCCACGGGTTCACGCTTGCCCAGCTCTGCTGCCCACCCTGCCAAAGCTCTGCTTCAGCACTTACTGTTTTTCAGCACTCTGGGGCTTTCCACCTGCAGGGCTTGGCAAAAATCTTGCAGTCCCAAAGAGTTCCTTTGACAGGCCTTTTAATGTCTGTGGATCAATGTTAGTGTGACCCTGTTAGATAACAGAGTGCCTGGGTTTAGATGTGCAGGAGGGGATTCCTCTGCCTCACACTGTCTCTGTCTTCCCCACGGGGAGCCAGCTGTGCAGGATTTGTGCACTGCTGAAGTGGGTGCCTGAGCTGCCCAGGAGATGTGTCCTGGGGGCTCTGCAGCTGGAGGAGCAGCACAGCTGGGGTTTGGGTCCTCCTGTGTGCACCCCTGTGCTGGTGTTAGATAGGCAGAAGGGCAATCGGGTACCTCCAGCCTGTGAGCCTCTGGCTGTGCTTGGCTGAAGAATGAAGAAGCTGGTACAGGATTCAACCTATCAAAACTACAGTAAGGGATTAGCATGTAAGTAATGCATGTTACTGTTGATGGATAAGGAATTGGCTGGATGGCTGCATCCAAAGAGTTGCAGTCAATGGCTCAACATGCAAGTGGAAACCAGTAACAAGTGCTGTCCCCCAGGGGTCCACACTGGGACCAATACTATTTAATATCTTCATCACTGACATAGTGGGATTGAGTGCACCCTCATCTAGTTTGCAGATGACACCAAGCTGCATGGTGCAGTTGATCACCTAGAGGGAGAGGATGCCATCCAGAGGGACCTTGGCAGGCTTGAGGAGTGGACCCGTGAAAATCTCATGAAGTTCAACAAGGTCAAGTGCAAAGTCCTGCACCTGGATCAGGGCAATCCCCAATATCAATAGAGACTGGGGGATGAAGGGATTGAGAGCAGCCCTGCCAAGAAGGACTTGGGGGTACTGGTGGATGAAAAGCTGGACATGAGCCAGCAACGTGCGCTCCCAGACCAGAAGGCCAATCGTATCCTGGGCTGCATCAAAAGAAGCGTGGCCAGCAGGTCGAGGGAGGGGATTCTGCCCCT